TACTGGCAGAAATAGTTTCTACCCTTAATGCATATATTTTATGGTTGAAAAACTCTTAAAGGTTGACTTAGCAAAATGCAGAGGTATTTCATGTTTATTAACATAAATCAATAGGATCACATAATGAATATTCAGAAAAACAAATACTGCTGCCATCAAATGATAAACTCAAAAAACAGTAAAGCAAGGTTTGGGTGTGTTTTTGAAGAGACCAGCAAAAGAGTTATAGATTCATATACAAATAAATTTGGAATAACAATTATCTATTCCCATGTTCCTGGGAAAAACTTTATGGAAAATATGAAATTTCAGTAATTGTTGGAAGGGAGGAAATCAAAGAGACTTGAGAGGTAGATGTTGTTGATATCAAATAGATTTCCCATAGTACAGTAATGATTTTCATCCACAGAGAATAATCAAATATTTAAATTGTGTCCAGCAATTGAGGGTTTCATAACTGCATTTGGTACTCAGAAGGAAGCAAGATGAACAAACTCTGTTTTAGTTTAAAACACATTGATGTCAGTATGACTGGGCTACTTGCTGTAGCTTAGTATCTTATCCTACACTTTCTTATTTGCAAAACAGAGATATGAATAGTTCTTGGAAGCCTGCTTTGTTACTCTAGTGACAGCGCTTTAAGATTTGGTTTTAGCATTAAATGCAGGAAATATATTTTAACTAGTATTAAGTCTTTAGGTTTATGAAGTAATAGGAAGGAAATAAGAAAGCATGCATAACAACAACATAGCAGAAGCTCTGTGTTCTGTATAAGTAACATGCATTTGCTTTGATATTCCAATCATTCTGTGCTTGGGAATCAGTTCATGAGTAATGATGATGGATAACTTTGACTTAGAGAACCAATTAGCACTGCAATACCTTCAAATTTTCTAGTGTTTATAATTGTTCCCATCTTTAGAGAAATTGCTTTTTTTCCATATAGATTTTTTATTACATTCTTTGGACAAGAAAGGAGTTTTAACCCCCAGTACCACAAAATAGAGGAAGAAAGAGAAGGAAAAAGAGGAGGAGAAAGACAAAGGGAAAAGAAGGAGAAGAAGAAAGAGAATTGCAAGAAGAAAAGGAAAAAGAAAGAGGACGAGGAGGAGAAGCAGAGGTAGAATAAGAAGAGAGGAGGAGTGGGAGAGAGAGATGGAGATGAAAGAAGGAGAAAGAAAGAATAAGAGGAAGAGGGAGAAGAAGAAGATGAAAAGGAGGAAAAGAAAACAAGGATAAGGAGGAGGAGAGGAGGAGCAGAAGAAGAGGGGACATAGGAGGGAAAAGGGAGAAGGAGAAAGAATGAGAAGAAGAAAGAAAGGGAAAGAGGAGGGAAAGGAAAGGGAACAAGAGGAAGAGAAGGACAGAGAAGGAAGAGGAAGGGGAGGAGGAAGATGCTTGTCCAATACACAATTCTCAGATAGACTGTCATTTATCTTCTGATATCCTATTTTCCCATAAGTTTTGTTGAATATATGCTGTGAAATTTTTCCGAGAGTCAAATACTGAAGCATTCCTACCAAACACTAGAGGAAAACCCACAGATTAAGCTATTAATGCTTTCCTTCCAGAAGCAATTTAAGCTTTTGTGATGAATTAATGACATCAAAACATTAGAATGATTAGTACAATGAACAGTCCACGCTGTTTAATAAATATCAGTTAGCAATTACTCTTATTGATATGGTTCAGCATATAGAATTAGTACTTGGTTTTAAGGTTTTATCCAACTTTATTGCTCTTAGGAAATGATATCTATAATTGTAGCTGTTGTTGGCTTACTACTATTACTGAATTTACATAGCAATACATTTTTTCCTTAGTAGCACATTTAAAAAGCTTTTTACATTGCTTTGTAATCAAGAGCTGAAAACACATATTTTTCCTTTGTTTATACTTCATCAGTAAAGAACATTTATGTATATATTTATGTGTATTTTTTGGTGGTGCTGGGAATTAAAATCAAGCCTGTGACTGCTAGGCAAATGCTCTACCACTGAGCTATCACAGCCCCTGGCTGTAGACCTAAGTAATTATTATGGAGATAGAGTTTTTGTATGATATCAAAACTGTATTTATTTTGCAGAATTCGATTTAATTCCAAGTTAATTCAGGCAAAGTTTCTAAAGATGTTTTTTCCTAGCATCAGCTAATTGCTAGGGTAATTGTCAAAATTTCATAAAATTTATAAACAAAAATGGATATTCCATAGCATTAATTTATGTACATGTTTATTCTTTAGTATTATGACTTTATAAAGATGCAAAGTAGATGAGAATGTTATAACATTTTGCATTAGTAGTCTTTGGAGGAATATGGCAACAAACAAAGTAAGTAAGGAAAGAAAATTTACTCTGCCCTTTTGGGGATGACTCTTCTCTCTAAAAATAGTACATAAATCCATAAAATAGAGAAATTACATATTTTTGGGAATCTTGAGATTTTCTTATTCACAAGCTCTATTAACCACCAGATTTGAAAATATTTTGTAGAAATTTGACATTTCGGAAAGAGATTTATATTCGTTTTGATATTGTTTATTGTCTCTTCCTTTTCTGTATTTCTTCTCTCTGTTATTTTAGTTTCCATTCAGTCTAACGATGTTACAGCTTAAAACAGCTTCACTAAAAGAAAAGTATAAGTAAAAGCTAAAAAATACAAAATGGCAAAAGCCAAAGTCTAAACTACTGTCCTTTATGTTCTACAAGTTCAAGTTGGGTTTTCACTTGGAAATGATGCTTGTGTCATCACATGGACAATCTTTTGTCTATCCTGTGTTTGGGAAAATAATCTATGACTTTCCAAGGGAAAGGAAAAGGATTGTTTTTAATACACAAGTAAAGAGTGCCTTTATCAGTATATGTGCCAAGAGATCAACAAGGGCAGTTCTGGTGTCTTCAGTGGTTCTTTGCTTGAATGATGTGGCAGCTTATTCCCAGCTACAGTTAGAACTTTTAGACTCAGAAAGAGATATTGCTTTAGTTTCCAATTAAGCTCATGACTTAATCAGAACTTAATTACATCCCAGCAAAAACAAACCTAATCACAATATGTGCTGAACCTTTAGCATCTCAAAGTGAGTGAAAAGGAGCTAGCGAAGAGCACCTTGATGGGGACAAGAAAATGAATGCAGCTGCAAAGCCAGATCTTGCAGTGAATACCTATCAGTACATCACGTGAAAGACTTAGAGGAAAACATCATGGTTCAGGCAGCTGAACCCAAAGCATAGAGCACCATGTTTCTCCTGGGTTTAGTAACTTAAAAAAAATCTAGTTGGCACAATGTGAAAGCCAATACTGTTCAGACCCAGGCAAACTGCCCACTAGCAAAGATTTCTGCACAGTGGGCAGCATTTGGGGTTGAGATGGTGATGCATAAGTATCACTGTTCAGTATTTCAAGGGTTAAAGCAAGACAGGACATTAGGGTCAAGCAAAGAAGGTGGAACTCAGTGATGTGTTTTTTCCCTGTTTGAAAAACTGGTAGTAATATCTAAGATGAAATTGGAATCACATATTTGTACACATCAGTGAATTCCAACAGAGATATTTGTGTAGATTATGAGTATATGCGTACTGACACCATACCCACATGCTTATGAGTACTTGATCTGTTACTATTATTCTCTCCATAAGATTGTAGATGGAGGCTGAGGATTTAGTTCAGTGGCATAAGCACATGCTTGTCAAGCATAGGACATGAATTCAACCCCTGGTCTCCCCCACCCCTGCCAAAAAAGAAGATTGTAGATGGAGAAAAACTAGAGATAAACCTACTCAACGTCTTCTGCACTCCATTGCTACTCTTTCATGGAAACTCACCTTAGGAACCCTTGGAAGAAGATTAATTTTAGGAAAAGATCAGCTAAAACACATTAGCACCAGTTGTCTAACTCTTCATTACCCTAAATTGTGTCAATTTGTTGGTGTCCAGTGTATATTTCCTAGCAGCAGTAATCTCTTTCTTTTGAAAGAACAATGACACAGTTTTCTGTACTTGACGCTTCTTTGTGGACTCTTCTCTTTGACTTCTCTTAAACACAGATAATACCAAAATCCTCACCACAGGAACTCTAGAGTTTCTTGGTCTGGCATAGTTGGAGGCTGTAAAGATCACATTAAAGGTGTTCTTCCCTTGTTGAAATGATAAAAGTGTCCTGTTGAAAAGAGATTATAAGTTTATGACCTTGAAAATTGCTCCTCCAGTGGTAAGGACATCACTATAAAAAATAGCATTGCATGCAAATTATACTCGATGAGAATCATAATTCATATGCTTTATTTTCTTAAAATGAAGTAGATTAGACATTTAGTGAAAAATATTTCCAATTTTAGGCATTGCCTCTACTTATTTTGTTTCATTAGGAAATATTTGTCATGCATTTAAATTCTCTTTGTTAGTATTTGTTTGTTCCTTGTTTTGTTTTGTTCCTGAACTCTGGTGTCAACATCACTTGAAATGCTCTTTTAATGGTGCCAGGCACGGTGGTGCATACTTGAAATCTCAACACTTTGAGAGACTAAAGCAGAGAAATAGAAAGTTCAGGTCCTGCCTGGGCAACTTAATGTGACCCTGCCACAATATAAATAAAGAATTTAAATGGATGTGATTGATGTGGCTCATTGCTGATTCAATCCCTAGTACTTTAAAAAATAAAAGAGCACATTCATCTGTCCCACTCTAGAATTGATTCTGAATCAGTAGGTTATTTTGATCTGATTACAAAGATTAGGAATCAACTAAATTTAAAGCTTGGACTCTACAGCTAAGCTACCTGGATTGCCTGCCCCTCAAACCCTTCCTCATCCCTGGGTCTTCTGTGGTCTATTATTGAAGTAATTCATCTGAACAAATTTAAACATTTGTGGATTGCCCTCTAAGTGCTGGGAATACGCCGGTGACCCAAATAAATAAAACATGACTGTTTTCAAGAGGCATATCATACATGAGAGACAGAGCTCAAAAGCACATCATCATGTGATCATACTGTATTAGATAAATGCAAAGGGCCACAGGAACAGAGGAAAAAAAACCACGATCCCTATGGAGAGAGCAGGAGGGGATACTACTTTATTAAAGGTATGACATATGATTTGGGTTGAATTAAGTTTTCAGAGAAGAAGAAGAATACCCCCAAATAGAAAAATAACCCTATCTGTTCAGAAAGGGAGAGCTGTAGTGGATGAAGCTTACTGTGTCTTGACAGAAATCTAAGGAGGGGTCCTGTGCATCACAGTAAGGAGACTTTGTCTGCAGGAGATAAGAAAGATTGCAATATTTTAACAAAAGCAGTGATATAAACAGATGGATGACAGTAGCCACTTAATTCTTAAGAGAAAATAATCCCTTAAAAGGAAGATTATACCCTAAAATCTCTCTCTATGGCACCAAAGTAGCAAAATAACATTACTTACTTTGAATTCATGTACAGTGTAAGATGATCATCTTTGAGCATTCAAATTGAGTTAATTTTAACATTGTGAATGTCTTGCTACAATAAAGATTGTACTTTTCTATTATTTGACATGAACTTTATATTTTTAATGTAAGATTGGAAGCAATATTGTTTGAAAACATTTGAAATGAAAATTTATAAAATTCCTGCATTTTTCTGATGGAACTTTGTGCTGAAGAGACTATTAAAGTATAATTTAGCTGCTGTGACCACCACATGTGCTACAAAATTTCCCATACACACATACCAAAGTGGCCTCTTCCTATGCTTGTCCTTCATTAGCTCTGAGAGTTCTTTTTAATCTTTAGGGACATAGGATAAAGAAAAAAAAGCCTAAGGACAAACCAAGGAAATTCACTGGCTATTTATAGAATAACCTTGTGTTGGCGAAAATCAGCTGTGTGGAGAGAAAGGCTGAAAGATAATAGTGCATGTTTAATATAAACAGCAATGTGAAATATAAGACAAGCCCTAAATCAAAAAACTACCTAGTAATTCTAAAACAGATGTTGGGAATAAATGGAAAATTAACCATGTGCTAAAGCAAAATGATTCTTTAGTGTCACCTATTCTTTCCTTCCATTGTTCTTTGTGATCTATTATCTTGAGACTATTTCTTAGGCAAATTCCATGCCTCCCAAGACCTGCCAAAATAGTAAAATATTATCAAGTTAGTGTAGCTTGCTCATCATGAGTCTAAATTGTGCATCACTGTTGAATCTTTTGTTAGTATAAAGTAGATAAATATTATAGTGGCCTTACAGAAATTATAACTCTAAATAACATTTAAAATATATATTATTTTAAAATTTGACTCTTAGGGATACATAAATCCTCCCTGATTTAAATAGTGGAAATATGAGAGACACTTTATTCCTACTTGGTTTGTAAGCAATTATATGGAGCTGCAGGAATTTTTTTGTAACACTTTGATTATATAACCTTGCTCAGAAGACTCCCCATCCCCCATCTGCTCATTGTTAATATTTTCTTTCCATTTTATTTCAGAAGATGCCAAGACAGCCTCCTGGTGGGTTACCTTGGTAACCCCTTGTGTCATGGCTTTAGAACATCCCATGGCTGCAGTTTTATTTCAATTTGCATGTGCTTCAGTCAGCTAACTGTAGATTAAGAACACCTATTGTATAATCAACCTTTATTTTTTGCAGAATAACAACCAAATATTTAAAATCATTGTTTAATGCCACTCACATTTAACACTGCATATAGGAAGATTTTGTTCAGTTATTTAAAAGTGTCATATAATTTAATACACAGTATAGGATACAGATCATACATAGTGTGACTTCTTGGCTTCATCTTTGAAAAACATGTCACTTTATAATTTCTCAATGACAGGCATGCAAAAATTTTTAATAGAACTTTTGACATGTCAATTTATGTAACATGGCAGCAATTCAAGATTATTTGATTAATTAAATTGCAAATTTTGAACACTATCCAATCAATTATTGAAAAATATTTTAATATTTTACATCTTAAAAGTCATACTTTTAGTAGCTTTTAAAAAGTTAGTGGTTTAATTCTTCTTGCATATTAAGATATTTTAATGTGCATATTTGTGGAAGATAGTGTGCAATATATATTCATCTTCAACACAGACATTTGCAGTGTTCCTAAAAGAAAGAAATAGAGAAAGCAGTGGAGGCAGGAAAACAGAGCAAAGTTGTACATAAAGTTAGCAGAAAAGCTGAAATGAAAAGTAAACTCTCCAGGACACTAATATTTCTTAGGTATCAGAATATGGGTGATGTATCACTTTTCTCAAGAAGGAAATTATCATCATGCATGTTTCAGGCTGCAAAATATTGTTTTTCTCTCTTTAGAGTTTTGGTATCCTTTGATCATTTATAACATTCTGAGGAGAATATTCTGGTATAGATTTGTGACTTTCTTCTGTTTGAGCCAGATTTATTATTGCCTTGAAATTAATTATCTTTTTTTTCTAACAAGACGTCTCTGAAGAGCTGTTACTGAAATCCACCATAAATTGAGCTCCGTTTCCCTCTTCTGTTCCTGAAGGGCACTGGGAGAGTCTATTTCAATATGTGCAGGATAATTCAGCTGCTCTTTTATAGTGTTTTTTTTTTCTAGGTTTAACTATCCTTACTATGACATAGTACAGCTCTGAGTTTGAGAAAAATGATCATTATTTTTATATTTCAAAAATTCTCATCCTGAGAGTATAAAATCTTATAGTATGGTACATTCAGTAATGGTTTCCATATCTGAATATCATCCCTTGATGAATCTTCACAAAGCAATGAGGTTCCTTTAGATGTCTTTGTAATGAACAATTTAATATGAAATAAAGGCCTCTATTATGAGCTGATGTTGTTTAAACTCCAAAGAGTAGTAAAACTAGTTTGATATTTAGTTGCTGATGTAAAAAGCTTGTGGAGTAGATAATAAGAAGTTAAAAGGGCTGGTACCTAGACTAATTTGGTTTGATAGTCTCATTCTGGTGGTTCATGGTTGATAAAGTATTAAAACACAAATTTATCTAATAAAAGTCTTGATCTTAAAACACTAGTAAAGTCTTCTCTGAACTTGAGTTTTTAATGATATCTGCAATTACATCTCATGTATGTTTTACTTTAGCTCTTTCCCATGCTTGCATGTCAAAGATAGATGGCTTCTTTTATTACTACAGTAGGGTTAACTTTCTGCAAATGGTACAATAGAATATGTCTGGTTCTGAAGAACTTTAATTGAGAGTATTTAGCATATTTAATCAAGTATGAGTTTTCGATTGAAATATGCAGATGGATGGATTACTTAAAAACATTTTCTCCAGGTTAGGCTGTATCATTAGCCAATATTATTCCATGCAGATGTCCTCTCACTTTTACTGTTTCATAACTTTATTGTGCCATAATTTACCTACTACAAATTGCATATATTTAAAGTATATGATTTGATAAGTTTGACATATGACTACACTGGTGAGACTTTCAATCAAGTTAAGGAGCATATTTACTCAGCCCAAGTTTCCTCATGTCTCTCTAATTTCACATCTACCTCGCACCTTTATCGATCAGACAGATCTGCTATCTGTCACTAAAGGTTAGTTTGCAACTCCTAGTTTCTAGAAAAGGATTCATACAGTGTATGTTTTGGTTTGTTTCACTTAAGATTATGATTTTGAGATGCATTCATGTACTTAAAATGTTTTAAATTTATTCTTCTTTATGGTGAAGTAACACTCCATTGTATACAAATATCACATTTTTAAATTCATCTGTCGATGGGCATATGGGCTGGTTCCAAGATTTAGCTATTAAAGTTATGCTGCTATTATCATGGATATGTATGTATAATTGTGATATGATGACTTTAATTCTTTTGGGAAAATACCTAAGAGAGAGAAATAGCTGAGTCAAATGGAGCCAGTAGTTTTAATTTTTTGAGGAGAGTTTATGTTGACTTCCATCATGATTGTAGTGCCACTTTACACTCCCATCAACAATGGAGAGGGGGTTCCTTTTTATCCACAGCCTCACTAGCATTTGTTATTGGTGATAGCCATTTTTTCTAGATATGGACTATGTATGTATGTGTGTGTGTGTGTGTGTGTGTGTGTGTGTATATATATATATATATGATATGAGTGTAAGTAAATTCCTAGACATTCTTCTCTCTTCCACTGATGTATTATTCGTATTTAATTGTTTTTTGAGCTAGGAACCCTTTACAAAGGACATATTTTCCCCTTTATTCAATTTTCTTTCCTATTCTCTTTCACCAATATATGTTTGCTATTATGTGTGCATATAGTGAATACAAATGTGGAAATGTACATACATTTTTGTCCATATTTTCCATTATATTATGGAGCACTATAAATATTTTGTTTATAGGCTTTGTTCTGCTTTAAACAGTTGAATATAAATATATACATCAACTAAGTATATTTCCGTGTGTGAATTTACCTATTGAATATGTATAGTTGCTCCATAGTGTTGGACAGTGAGAATCCATCACATTTTGCTTATTTATTCCCATAGGAATGAATAGAAAGTGTGTTCATGCCTTCAACTTTCTAGACCTACATAATACTTTGCAGTATATAGTGTTATATCCATAAGTGTGTTTGTGGAAGTCTGAGAGATCATTTTGAGGGTGGGTTCCCTGGAAGACAAATTATACCTATAATCCATTTGAATGTATACTGATCAACTTCTTCCTAGTAAAACAACAAGAATTTATATTTTAACAGTTATAAAGTAGCATGATTACTTCTTGCCATTTATTGACGGCACTTGGTATTATTGTACGTCAATTTCTTAGTTTTTGGATTTTTTTTTTTTTTTTTTTGTCTTTTTCCTTTTTATTGGTACCGGGGATCGATCTCACGACTGCCTGCTTGCAAAGCAGGCACTTATTGCCGCTGAGCTAAATCCCCAGCCCCAATTTCTTAGTTTTATGAAGAATCTCCATACTGATTTCCACAGTGGTTGTACTACTCTACATTCCCACCAACAATGTAGGAAGGCTCCTTTTTCCTTATAGCCCCACCAGCATTCGTTATTGATTAATTTCTTGATGTTAGTTATTTTTTTCTGGAGTGAGATATCTCAATGTTGTTTCAATTTGAATTTTC